TTTGTACACAAAAGCCAAGTTTACTTGCATTTTATTGAAGGAAAGTAGATAACTAACACTGACGCTCAAGCATCCCTTGCTACTGCAGATAATGGCATTCTTTTTGCGGAAAAGGACTTTTTCAGATTGTACTTCCTTCTTTGTGCAAAAGTTCTAAAAAATGTGCACTTTTTCAGGGTCAAAGACAGATTTTGCCGTTTACTTTTTACGTTGGACATAAACGAAAAAAAATGATATCATTAATAATAGTGTTTTGAATCCAGTTTTAACATTAAACATTCGAATTGCTTCTTCTCTTTACAAACCTGTTTCGTGCTGAAGTTGTTAAATTTGACTATTTAATATAATGAAAAAGGCTAACTTTCTTGAAGCAAGCACTAAAAGCAAACCTATTAATAGAAGCCTTTTATCGGTGCGCCAAACACCGGGGTACTCCTGGGAATTTTAGGTGGGGGTGTGCCGCCCGGTTCTTCAGACAAAAAAATGAAATTCCCCCCCCTTTTTCAGACTAGATCTCTAAAATTCATATCCGTTTTCAGACCTGGGGCCCGTTTCTCGAAAGTCCCGATAATTAACGGGCCCGGTAAGCTGTCGCCGTTTGCATTAAAGATCGAGGTTTCAATAGTTTTACATCTAGCATGATAAAACCATCACTTAGTGAAACAAAATGGAGTAGTCTGCTAGCTGGGACCCGCGCTCTTATTCTTTATATTTCGATTTGAATATTTGATTTCGGGCCCGAAAAGTTACCGGGACTTTCGAGAAACGGGCCCCTGGCCTTTAGGCAGAAATTATGTTATCATTACATTAGAGCGTAAACAAAAAAATCATTCCAATCCATTTGGAATTCGCTTATTTCTATTCTTTCTTACTCATTTGGAATTGAAACGACAAATACGTTCATACACTCCGTAGTTCCCTCGAAGAAAACCATACCCGATTCCAGACCAAAATGGGCAAAGTGTATACCCGTTTTCAGACCAAAACGGCGCAAAAACCCTACCCGATGTACCCCCCCCCCGGGACCAAACATTTTTTCTTTTCATATCAAACTCATTGCGACGTTTGCCCTATGTCACATCGGGTGGGCTCAACTTCTGGTAAACTAGAGCTGAAAACACGCTGATTTCGGCAAAATATTGCCTTTCTTTCTCAAAGTAGGAGACTATCACAAAAGCACCACCGGTATTGAGCTTAAGTGCTATCTAAGCTACTAGTGGTGAAAAACTTGGGTTATTTTGTGAAGATTTTTTTCCGTCGGTTTGGATGTAAATTTACAAAAGCGTGACCGGTCTTGAAAGCAGAGGGTCGAGAAAAACTGGACTGTCTCGACAGCGCATGCTCCGAATAATAAATGCGCCGCCAAATTCAAAGAGTTGAATTAATTTGCCGCGTTTTTATATGTAATTTGTTGGGATTTGTGCAGATTTCGGTGGGGCAAAATGACTTTGAAGGTACATCTTGTTGTCTTTCTTCTCTTCGCCTGTACCGTGACGGTTTCTGCAGTTGAAGATAATTCTCAGGGCGAAAATGGTGAGAAATTCAGCCAGCAGAACGGTTCTTCGTACACTTACCGATTAACAAATAAGTGATTTGAAGTGATGGTGAATATTTTAATAGGAGCTTAATTATATTTTCAAACAGTTCGATTTCTAAATTTTCGGATATTGAATAATTCCTCGTTTCTTCTATTTACTCCCGCAGCTTTTTAATTTACCAAGAGCCATCTCTTGATGCAACGATACAATCGTCCGTGAAATATGTTGCCTCTATCCTCCAGCGGACCTTCCGCGGGGAAAAACATTTTTTCCAAGTGAGCGAAGGGAAAGTAATTCCTTTCATTATCGTAATCACGCCACTTATCGTATTCGTGACTGAATCCCACGAAATGAATTTTTAGCTGTTTTCGCGTGGTGTCCTCTTCAATAACCTCAACATCATACAAATCCCTGTCTGTTTTGCGTTTTCGTTCCACCTTCCCCATCTTTTTTTCGCGGAGCTGACAGAATTCTTCCACAAAAAGCCGTGGAGGACATTACATTCGCTTCCGTCGATCGCTCATGATTATTTGTGATGGTGAAACACAAGCGCGCGCGTTGTAGCATACACTCCATGTAATGATCACTGAAAAGCAAACGTCCTCATTTGTGCGCAACGAGTTCAGTGTATATTATCCACGAGGGTTATTCACAGAACACCGAACAGATTTGGTTTTGTTTTCCTAGCATCGAACGCAGTTTATTTACTTCAATCTGCTTTTGTTTTATCTGAGTGTTGTACACAAGTACGAATGTAAATTTCTGAAACAGTACGTACCAGTTTGTGTTTGTTTATTCAACTTTCCCAAAAACAGAGTATAGACGAGGCTTCAGAGCCAAATACAAAAAGCAAACTGAAAGGTGCACTTTTGATGAGGGGGGAAGAAACTCACGTTTCGAGGCTATTGTCTATTCAGAAGTTTTCTCATTCCGTTCAGCCTAATTCTGTTTTCAGGCAAACAGGAAGTAAAGAAATATAGAATGTTTGTCCAACCTTTTTGTACTTCACTCTGACAGTGTGATATACTCCACAGTAATAAATGACTTATCCAATAATTTTTTGTCCTCACTTGGCCCCCGTATGGTATATTCTGTTTGATAAATTATCTCAGTGACACCGCATTTTTCCAGAGGCAAGTTAACTGCTGTAAAATTATTCAACTGTGTAAAGCAGTATATTTGATTTTCCAGTTGAAAGAATATTTTGTTTTGGACCAATATACCGTTTACCGTCTATTTGATTTTTGGAAACTTCCTGATTTTTGGAACGCCTTAACGACCCAGATTGGTGTGTATATGAATCATAGATTGAAGGTTTTGCCCCGAAAGCAGTTTTCAAAGAGCGTGCACGGTAAGCTTATTCCGATTTACTCAATAAACACAGGCTTATTGATATTATATATATATCAGAGCAAACGATGAAAAATACCAAAAAAAAAAGAAAACATTTACTCACCAGAGCTGCTGCCTTTGCCTAGAGTGTTAGCTTTCCAAACCAAGACAAGACAAATTATAACGCCAATATTAATGCCCCTTTTCGTTGCGCTCATAGTGGTATACATGTTTGATTTAGACGTCTACTGGAGGCCAAATTGCGAGAAATTACACTGGGTTGTTGAACTCTCTCTACTCCCGTTGAAGGTTAGTACCGTTTTGTCTCAAATTCTCGATCTTCAGAATAATTGTACTAGTCGTTGCAATACAATTCTTAAAAATCACACAAATTAATAATGAGCGCGCTTATACACAATGTACGTGACTTTGGCAAGGAGGTGATGATTACAGCTGTATTCTGTAGTCAGTGAAGAATTTTTGAAAGACGAAATTTCGCTTCGTTGAAACGAAATTACGTTTCTGTGAGACGAATTTCCGTCCTGCAGGCACGAGTTAGCCAGTTTAAAAGCAACCAACGTACGCTAGTTGATCTAGTGAAAATCATCTGTTCCATTTACGACAAAGCTTGGTCACCCTTTTGGTCACGCTCCAGGACCAATGTTGTCTCACATTGGTCAAGATTTTGACAGGTGAATTGATGCATGAAAACTTATAAATGCAGCATTTAGAAATTTGTTTCGCGATAAATGAAGTTTTTGCCTTTTTAAAGTGGCTCGTTTCTATTTATATGCGTGTTGGTTATGTTTCTGATTAGCGTTTTTCAGAATGAAAGATTCAACCGATTTCTACGATTTTTTGCATCCTTAATGAATAATGATGGAACTTTAAGAAAATGTTATTTATTTTCTTATTGGTATAAAAACGTTTGAGATATCGGCATATATTTAAAACCTCATTTTTATGAAAAATGAAAATAACTTCAAAATCCCACGACAGTTTTTCCCTAACTTCAGCAAATAAGCCTCAGAGCTCTCTAGTTTTATGTCTGCAAGTTTGAAGGCAATCGTGACCGTAGAAATCGCTCCACAAAATGTTGGTCAAATTTAATGCTAAAATGATAGGCTAACACATCTGTGAACGTAAACGCACTAATAGCGGAAGAGAGCTGACAAACTACCTCTTAACAGAAACGTAAGTTGTTCTTACCCAAAGCATTGTTGGAAGAAAATGAGTAATCGGACAACTACGGCAAACACAGTTAGCGCTTTAATACAACCAATTAACTTTCTGCTACATGCAGTGCGTTGAAATTAAAAATATTCTATTTATCCAACTTACTCTGCATCTGTCCGTTCATTTTCTACAAAAAAATATTAAGAAAACAAAACACAGCATCTGCAAAGCATCTGCAAAGGTACTCGTTCTGAGGCGAAATAAGCTCGCTAGTTCGAGAACATCTCGCCATCCAATTTTCAAATGCAATGGAAACCCTCTCGCACGATAATATATTCAAGACCTCTGACTTTCCTATCACATGCTCACGAGCAGTATGCCACTTGAGTTGTTCAAAGCTGGGTTAAGATAACCCGGGGTTAGTGCGATATTTGAATTCAGATTTGAAATTTTAAAAAGCATTTCAGGTTTAATTCTTTTTTGTGTACATGTTGATGATTGAAAGCTCTAAAAATAACAGAGAAAATTCTCCGAGAAATGCTTTTGAGCACAAGAAAAAGAAACCAAGGTTAAATTCAACCCCGGGTTAAGGGCTAATCGGCCTTCGAACAACTGGGCCCTGCAGACATAAACACTATCGTGCGCCGTCCGCCATATTGTTTTTAAGAAGCATGTTTGGAAGAGCAAAGCAAAATTTCTGTTTGATTTTGAATATGGAGAGATACGAAGCTGCTCAAGGTGTGTTTGATGAAGTATGGAATGATTCCGTAGAGGAAAATGTTTCCGATAGGGACAGGGATTTTCGTAATCTTGAAGAGAACTCTGGAGCGAATGAGGATGAAGGAAGCATCGACTCTCATGATTCAAAGGGTGTTGGCACAGGACTTCTCAATGGAGTTGGCAGCCGAAGGAGTTAACACAAAACAGAATAACACATAAACTAGCTGACCTTCGAGAACATTAATTTAGTATTTGTCATTCCACATCCGAAGCCGGCTTAAAAACAAACAAACAAACAAACACCAAAGATTTCAGAAACATTTTAGTAACGCTAAAGTCATGCTCTCTCGAGCTCCCTTGTAATTTAACTTATGCAGAGCAGGCGGAGGAAGAATTGGCTGAGCACAAGTAGGGTTTGCCCTTAATTGCCGAGGCAATACGACATACTTTCATCTAATTGTTTAGTTACAAAATTTCTAAATCGAAATAGCTTACGCACTGTATAAATAAAAGGTGCTTTTTTAGAGCGTGATGTTTCGTGTTTTTATAAGCTTTCTCTGCTGTAACAGAGATTCGATGGAGAAGATATCCTTCAACTATGGCATTCATTTTCTTTTTCTTTATCGCAGTAAAAGAGGGAAATCTAAAATTTGCGATGTCGTTGTTGCTTACACACATCACTGTCACTGTCACTGTCTTATGGTTTATAAGAGTCCGTTTAGAACCTTTTGTTGGAGGTTATTATGCCCGTGTGGTTATGTATATGAATCTTAAAAAGCTGCGGGTTCCGTAAGACTAATTTATACCATTAGCATCACTGTGCCTCAGTTTCTCCAGAAGCTTGCTTTCGATTTTCCATATAATGCAGGTATCAACGTTAAGACGGAGAGGTGGGGGGGGGGGGGGGGTACGGGCAAAGATGCGGCATTTGAATCTTTTGGCAATTTTTTGGTCAAATTCCCGACCCTTGGGACTGGAAAATAGTCCAAATTTGATAAAATGTCCACACCTGGGGATAACAAAACGTGTTATGACTTGTATTGAAAGTAATGAAGTAATTTGAAATGTACGTTTTTAGCTCCTGTTATCGAAGGTACATTAAAGAAGGTTAAAATTTAACAAAGTCAAGAAAAAAAAATCCCCGCGAGTTACAAATCCCTGTCTGTTTTGCTTTTTCGTCCCACCTTCCTTATCTTTTTTTCGCGGAGCTGACAGAATTCTTCCACAAAACGCCGTGGAAGACATTACATTCGCTTCCGTCGATCGCTCATGTTTATTTGTGATGTTGAAACAAAATACCTTTGCGCACGCGCTGTAGCATACAGTCCATGTAATGATCACTGAAGAGCAAATGTCCTCATTTGTGGGCAATGAGTTTGATATGCTTGCTTATTATTGAAAATCAGTGTATATTATCCCCGAGGGTTATTCACAGAACACCGAACAGATTTGGTTTTGTTTTCCTAGCATCGAACGCAGTTTATTTCATTCAATTTGCTTTTGTTTTATCTGAGTATTGTACACAAGTACGAATGTAAATTTCTGAAACAGTACCAGTTTGTGTTTGGTTATTCAACTTTCCTAAAAACAGAGTAGAGACGAGGCTTCAGAGCCAAATACAAAAAGCAAACTAAAACGTGCACTTTTGATGAGGGAGGAAGGAACTCACGTTTCGGGGCTATTGTCTATTCAGAAGGTTTCTTATTCCGTTCAGCCTAATTCTGTTTTCAAGCAAAGAGGAAGTAAAGAAATATAGAATGTTTGTCCAACCTTTTTGTACTTCACTCTGGCAGTGTGATATACTCCACAGTAATAAATGACTTATCCAATAATTTTTTGTCCTCACTTGGCCCCCGTATGGTATATTCTGTTTGATAAATTATCTCAGTGACACCGCATTTTTCCAGAGGCAAGTTAACTGCTGTAAAATTATTCAACTGTGTAAAGCAGTATATTTGATTTTCCAGTTGAAAGAATATTTTGTTTTGGACCAATATACCGTTTACCGTCTATTTGATTTTTGGAAACTTCCTGATTTTTGGAACGCCTTAACGACCCAGATTGGTGTGTACATGAATCATAGATTGAAGGTTTTGCCCCGAAAGCAGTTTTCAAAGAGCGTGGACGGTAAGCTTATTCCGATTTACTCAATAAACACAGGCTTATTGATATTATATATATATCAGAGCAAACGATGAAAAAAATAAAAAAAAAAAAAAAAAAGAAAACATTTACTCACCAGAGCTGCTGCCTT